CCTAATCCCAATTGAGCGTATAGAAATTGACTTGCCCGAAGATGAAACTACCAAATTCCGTCAATCTAGGGAGGCCCATTGGATTGAGACATTGAATACAGCAAGACCTATAGGACTAAATATTCATCATAATGTAGGCATAGCACCCTTTGTTGTCCCGTTTAATACAACCAGCAATCGAGCAAGCAAGATAGTTCATGCCCACTATAAGAGCCTTCAAGAGAAATTCCCCCATGTCTATAAGCAGAAAATGATAGTTGCATATTCAAAAAATAAGAACTTAAATGATAATATTGTTCATAGTAAACTAAAAACAATCAGTACATAACAGATACTATACTTCTCGCCCATTGGGCGAGTTATTTTTTCTAATTTCAGATCAGAATAAGAACAGAAGAAAACCCAATATCAAGACCCTTAATCCTGATTTCTAAATAAAGTGTCTGCTCCACCCTAGGCCTGTACATTTGGGAGAATCAAACCCTCCCTTCCCCGAAATCTATTTCATTTTATTAGTCCAATAAGGTGCAGAACAGTTGGATATAAAACTCTATTTCATTTTATTAGTCCAATAAGATACAGAACAGTAGGATATAAAACTCTATTTCATTTTATTAGTCCAATAAGATACAGAACAGTAGGGTATAAAACTCCATTTCATTTTATTAGTCCAATAAGATACAGAACAGTAGGATATAAAGTGCATACATTTGGGTGTAACAAATATTTCATTAGTGTAGAACGGTGGGACGTAAAATTATTATTGTTTCGTTTCAAGTAAATAATTTATTCTACTGTTAGACTATCGCCCTAGAAAAAATAAATTATTTATTTTCTAATAAACTTGATTGGTGTAATTTTTATTATCTACCTTTGTTTATTGTCAGTCAGACAATACCTTTGTTTACCTTTCCGTACCCCGAAGATTCCCGCGTAGCCAGATCGTTGCTACCTATAGAACATACATGGGGACACTTGATACCACTAAGTAAAGACGTCTCGTCTCTTACTTTTATGGTCCACAGCTTTATTGTGTACCTATCGTTTGGGAACACCCGATGCCACCTGATGTCACATGATTTTCAAATCGACCAATCACAATGCTTCTATATAGTCAAAATAAGGATTGATTTGTAAATAAGTTCAGGCGCACGAAACAGGTAACCTCACATATGAAAAATGTCGTTTCGATTGATTCACCACCCCCATCGTGTATATTTGGAAGTGAATAACGGTGCTTTCTGAAAAAAAATCTAGGACTATTCTTGATAAGTCTTAATTTGATCATATAGATATTAAGAGAAATTGCATTAAAATTTTATTGGAACAAGCAATAACCGTGTTATCTCCCTTGGATATATTTCAAAACTTGTCTCCTTTTGTTCAATCAAAATATAACTTAAGCGCCCATACTCCATAGCGATTACCAGTTGCGTTTGGTTGCGAATAATTATCCGCTATGTGTAAGCACAACTACTTGCCAAAACCCCGATGTTGTGTCCAAAGAAGTCCAATTATTGAAAAATCAAATTAGAATAAAAGAAACAGCTATATGTTACAACGATAAGAACATAGGTTCACAAAGGATCCTTTCTACCAGCTGGTCCTTGACCAAACCTCTTGGCATTGATCTTTCCCGGATTATCCGTACGGTACAGCTGGGTCGTTTTGAATTGTGAGTGAAGATGGCCAAAATTGTTACAACAAAAGTTCACAGAAAAATGAAGAACTCCAATCACACCCAGTATCGGCCAAGCCTCGGACATTTCCACTCTTTTTGCTTATCGAAGCACAAAAATCCACGGTCGTTGATTCCGGTTCAAGACTGGCCCAAAATTGTGGATCCAATCTACATCCTCTAACGTGTCGAAATTCCTCTTCACCCGGGTATCCGAATGCTCCAATAAATATGACAGCTGTCGCTACAAACAAATGCTGGTCGTTAGTACCACAATAAACATTATTAGATACATGAACTCTCTGGAAGAGACGCCGGGTTGACAATCTTAATTACTTAACAGTTAGTATTGCTCATGCCAATTCTCTGAATCGTTAGACATAAGCTTAGGGGATGGGAGCGGCGAACAATACAGACAATATCAGCAGGAAAATTTTAACAAAACCATCCAGCTCTCCAACAGGCCTCGGCCCCTATGACAAGAGATTACTTCTACAGTCTATTTCATATAAGTATAAGTCGTCCAATAACAAGGAGCCGAGTTGGCTCGTTGTGTGAAACGCTTGCTCGCTAACCTGAAAATCCAGAGTTCAACCCCAACATGGTGGAAATAATACTTTGTAACCCGATTCCCACCTGACAGTGATGCAGGTAAGAGGGGCTGGCAAGGAATAAGCGTCTAGTCGTTCGGATGGGACAATAAACCGAGGCCCCGTGCACATTAAAGATCATTCGACAGTTGACATCGAACAAGAGTAGAGCGCTGTCCACCTTCATCAGTCCGACTAGGTGCAGAAAGTAGGACGGAAATCTCCATTTATTTCATTACCAATAATTCAATATAAATAAGGTTACCCATCTTTGACAGAGACAAAGTAAACGACCACTATAAGGCTGTAAAAACTTACAGAACTACGTACCTTCAGTCACGAGAGACATGCTAGTATTTATTTTAGTTTGAGAATCTATCTTCATCAAATAACCGCCATCTTGGTTACAAGTCTCTTGAGCTCCAGGGAAATCCTTTTTACTGGTACCAGAATATTTGATACATACACCAAGACCAGAATACATGGTGTAACCTTCCGATACACAATCTGTTTCTTCTGAAACAAAGGACGTACAACTCTATTTCTCTTCTAGGAAGCAAATAGAAATGCTTCAAAGATATAATAAAAAAAAAAGTTGATTTATAGAGCTGCCTAGGCAAATAAAAAATTATTACACAAAAACTCTGTTCCAAAAAATGGTATACTTACCAGCTGTTTTCACGAAGAAGGATGACAGTGCCACGTTACCCCTTTGAGTGTCGCTGTTCAGTTTAAAACAGTAACATCGTCCATCTTTGATCGTGGCTATAGGCATGTTTAGCTGACTGGAACACCGAACGAAACACAATCTCGTATTGTTGGCGGCAAAGGAATTTTCCTGTCGAACCATAACTGGTTCCGTTACCGAAACTTTTCTCCAAATCACAGACACCTGCTTAGCGAATGAGACGACAAATAGTTCAAACAACAGTAGCATTCCAAGAAATAGTTCCATTCTGACCAACGTCTACTTGTAGAAATCCGCTGTCGTAATATATAGCTATATAAACTATAGTTTTAAAAAATTTAAGTCTGACGCATAAATCTAGAATGTTAAAGAGGTATTCCGCTTTTTTAGTAAAAGGTTTCCATTATCAAAAACATCGTAAATTATACCTGAAAATATTTCTAAAGTATGTTATTTATATCTATGTATCTTCTTGTTCAAACTGATTTTGTTTTGAAAGGGTTAATTTAAAACTGAGAGTACTAATTGTTAATGAAGCAGTTTGAACTAGTTTTGGTGATTGGCTTTATAATGGCTCGATATTATTGGTTAATACGTTGGAGAATATTTCTCTACAATTAATCGTTTATTTTACTCAAATCGGTTCTCTAGTTTACGTAATATTTTTAAATATTTTTGGCGTTTAAAAATTACCGGCTGGATTTTTTTAATTGTAACTTTCAGATATGTTAAAGGGCACATTTCTACATCTCTAGATTTTGGTGAATAGTTTTCACAGATTGCATCAAAAAAATTTTCGATCTACCAAAAAAAGTAGAATGTCTCTTTAAATAACTAGGTGAATAAATAAATGTTATTTCCCCGTTAAAGCTTGATTTAGACATTGTTAATTGCTTCTAGCATTTAATACATCCGGTTGTGTGAGTATAGACATGCCTTGTTTCAGTAGCGATCTTTAACAATCGAACATAAACGAGAACCAGTGAACTAAAAAGTCAAAATATATAATGCCAGTTTTCTAATTGATTAATTGATTACTATTAGTTACATTGTAGTTTAAAGGAATATTACCTCTTAGTTTGCCCAAAAAATTGATTTGTTCATCAGTGGACTTACCTAAACGCCAGAATTCTTCTATAATACAATAATAACGTAAAACTAAGTAATACACCACTAATCTAAGTGATTTTCAATAATTAATTAGTTCAGTGGATTATATAGAGATTCTATTCTTTAGTCATGGCACCTGGTAAGTCCAACTGATGAATATATACACTTGTTGATCAAGTTTGAGAATTTAAATTTTATGCCCATTCTAAGAGGTAGTATTCTTTTAATTGGTAGTACAAATAACGATTTTAGATAAATCATCGCCTCTGGAAATTTCAGCTCACGCTTCCAATAATCAAATGCTCCATATACAGGATACAGGGCATCATTACTTTGCCCTACAGACTTTAGCACAATAAGTACCATCTCATTTGAACATAATTGTTATTGCAATGTTATCGTTTTGAAACAAGCATGAGCTGTGTTGTCTCCCTTGAGTCGAGCCTTCTAACGTGGACAACTCAATAGGATTTATCGGATTGCTTTTTCTTACACCTCATAGTGATGAAAGTAATTATTTTAATCTTACGAATATAAAATGACAACAACTACATCACCTTTGCCTCTATAATATGTCGGAAAACGGGATAAACGGGATGAAGGTTAACGGTTTTGTATTGATTATAGTGTCCTTATCCCCATTTCATAGAGAATTCAATTCAACTTATCTTCCAATCTGAATGTAAACTCCTTGATGAGTCAATACGGTTATTGTACAACATTGGACATAGCATCCGGGTTTTGGCAAATAGTTATGCTAACACTGAGAACAGTTTAGTCTGGCGCATTTTCAAAATAATTAGATTTCTATATTCCCTTAAAGTGTTTTGTGAAAATCTGCAAAATGCGTGGGGGATCACAGGCGATTTCAATATTATGATTGTGATGTAAATTTTTATGAGGCGCCGCAAGAATTTTATTTCAGTACAAATTTTCTATTTGAAGGGAAATAACTCTTTCAAACATAATCATTTCAAAAGATATAACCTCGGGAATACCAAATAAACATTATTAGCCAGGAGACGTTGTTGACAAACAACATATCAATTACACATAAGCTGTGTGAACTCTGTGAAAGAGATAGCAAGGTGACAAAATATATATCTAAGATGTATTCCTTGGATTGACATAACATAATATCTAACAAAGGCTATGAAGACTCTCCCAATGAAACGACGAATTCAGAAACACTTTCACAGAGGGGCATTAGGTTGCCTTGAAAACTATTGAACGAAGTCCTCTCGACATCCGAAAGGAAATGAATTACATATTGTTCTAAAAGAAATAATATCCGCAAAGTGAATTGTATTTCAGACGTGTTAATTGTTTCTTCCTTGTCGCCATCCTGGTAAGGAAACATGAGCTCAATGAGATGGACGTTTGCTGGCATGCCTGGAGGATCCAGGGGTCAAGCTCCAGTTACGTAGAGAAAGTAATTCTGCATTTTTAATACGCTTTTTCTTTGTAAGTGATGTAAGACAGAGGCCAACAAAAGCTTATACCGAGCAGGCATACTTCTAGCGCCCAGTGAGTCCTTCGCTAGAGTGTCCAGGGTTCAAGCGCCGAAAACTTGGAGATGGCAATTCCGCATTTCAACCCCGGCTTCTTTCTTATAAGTGTGAAAGGGAGGAGGCCAGCATAAGCTTAAACGGAGCAAACATTTATATAAGAATAATTCTAGGCTTTTAGAAGGAATTTTCCTTTTATGGACAGTAGGACATAAAACTTGAGGTCCTATTGTGCCTCAGCGTGTGTGCGTTTATTTCAACCTTTTTAAATAATAGTACAATATAAGAATTGTAAAGAGGATTTCTAAAAATCCAACTGTGTCTTTGAGACACTAATAGCATCAAATTGAACCATTCCATTTTTTTCAGTGAGATGTCTGTGGTTCTTTGCTGGCAGGGTTAATTTAGTTTTGCGTTTAAATTTCAATTTTTGCATTCAGATGTCTGTGGCTCTTTGCTGAGAAGGTGAATATAGTTTTGCGCTTAATTCTCTTGTATAGTGTGGTCATTTCGGGGATATTGGACCACGTTGGTTGGTGGTAAAACGGCTGCAGTGTGGTAATTGTATAAGTCTTGTCCATTTGTTCTTACTATTTATAGAGTAGGAAAATTATGATAGCTTTACCGATTTCCAGTCGTGGTGAAATCTTGTCTCGGAATTCATTTATCATACGTTCGGATTGTATACGATTATATCAAATTTACACCAGTGTCAATCTTCATTAGAGGAAAGATGGACGTGAAAAATGAGAAAAAAATGTGTCGATTCGTTAAGAAATAGGTGACATTACGAAAGGAAATAATTCAGAGGCCAATTATTGTCACGAGTACATCCGGCCTCATGTCATAGTTTTATAGAATCACAGGGGGTCAATTGTCACAAACTTCCACACAGTTATTTTCTATATTACCCGTCAATCAAACAGTGTAATTTGACAAAGTCAATTCTCCCTCCCAGTCATATTCTAAAGATGTCGTTGACATTTGGCGTGTGACTAGAACAAGTACATCGTTTCAGATTCTAGAATTAGTTCAAATGAACTTTTAGGGTATTTGGAATTTTTGGTATTTCGAGCAAGGATTTTTCCAACCGTAAAACCTGCAATACCCGAGTAGTCTGGTAGCAGAATTTTTCACTCAGGAATTCATATATAATACAATATATCAAGTTGACAAAATCTGTATAGCTAAAAAACAGGAAGGGACGATATACTGGCATATATAAAAGAAAGGTCTCCCAATCGTAAAGCTGTAAAAGCAAAAGAGTCGCCTGTAGTAAGTATTTATAAAACATTGGGCTCCTCTCAAAACTATATGCGACACATCAAAGTATTGTATAAAGTATGGTCGCTTTACAAACCGACTTCCAATTGTAAACCCGTGAAAGAAAACCAGAGAGACCCGAATCGCCTGCAGTAACTGTATTTGTAAAACATTTGGGCTATGCAACAGCGTATTGTAAAAAGTAAGGTCGCTTGATAAAAGTAATTCCAGTGGTAAAGCCGGGAAAGCGAGAGAAAGAAACTCAGGTCGTCTGCAATTAACGTATCTGTATAGCATTTACCAACATTTGCGGCATACTACAAGATTTGTAAAAGAATTGGAATTCTGGTTGGTCGGTCGACGAAAGGTAATGCCGTGAAAGAGAGAGAAACTCGAGTCGGCTGCAGAACCAGAATTTGTAAAACACCGGGCTCTTACCAGACGAATGAAGTATGGTCGCTTGCCGAAAGGATTTCCAACGGTAAAGCCATGAAAGCGAGAGACATCCAAGTCGCCTGCAGTAAAAGTATTTGAAAGAGATAGCAGTAACTGGATATAAGAAGTTTATTGGAATCTGTAATAAGATCAATACACACACCTATCGTAGTGGTGGCAGGAGAAACTGTCTTTAATGCCATAAAAGCACATTGAGATGGAAGCGAGCGGATCAGTATCTCGCTATAACCTCTATTGATAACCGACCACTTTCTTTAATTCGATTTAACATAATCTCTGATAGTATACAAAGCCTTTAATTACGTGATTGCTTGAAAATGTTAGAATTTCCAGAGTTTCCTATTTTCTGTACATGTGAAAACAGAATTTTATTTTAGTGATTGTTTGAGAAAAACAAACTTTCGCTTGCGATCGCTTGCATATTTTTGCAATTGTACTTGTGGACAAAGTTTTTGTTTTTTTTTAGAATTAACTTACATGTGAACAAACTTTGTTTTATAAATTTGAATATTGCTCCGACTGAACATGTGAACAGAATTCAAAAGATCGTAGATGGATATGCAGAGTGCTGGGTTTGAATTCTTTTAAGATTGGAAACTTTGACATTCGGTCTTGGGTAATTCAAACATGAATCTAGATTTTTGTTGAAAAAAGAAATCAATTTTCGACGGATTGGACAATCGAATTGGATAGATATTAAGAAATTATTCTTTTATGTGCATGGAGAGAAAATAACTACATAAAATCCATTCTTGAGCAAAATTCTATGAATTTTTGAAGAGGAAAAAAAAAATCAATTCGTTGGAAGATTTGATTTAGATTAGCTACGACACAATATTCCTCATGACGTCATAGTCTTCAGAAAGAACGTCTGAATAGTTTCAATACAAAATGCAGTGCGGTATTGTTTGGATGCTGTTACAGCACTTTAGTTTTAAACAAAGACTTGTCTTTGTTCTGGAGGATATTAGAAAACTAGTGAATAGAGTTCTAGTTGAAAATGTGTGAAAACAATCGTTATAGCTAGTTCTTTGAATTACAAAATCTCATTGTATAGCCCAGTTCGCTTGTAACAAAGTTGTAAAAAATCTGAAATATTGATAGCTTATGGTATCGTCGTGAAAGGCTAGTTTTAAGAATGGATCTGCCATGATAATTTTTTGAAAAGTGTATTCCAAAATCTCCGAAATCGATCGCTCATGAAAAGTTCTTGAAAATTTCTCATTCTAATTTACTGATGTCGTCTTCCTTCGTGTAAAGTTACCAATTTAGATCGAGTATGGTTTGTTAAACTTTTATGCCGAAATATCAAAATTTCGAAAATTTGATTTCCAAAAATGTATCGCTTATGACAAAATTTCCTAATTTTATGGATCGTTCGTAAATTCCTGAAAATTTGTGATTCCAGAGTTCCTGAAAATGGATGTTTATGGAATAAACGATCGGAAATTATATTTTCTCTTTGTGTTATTTTGTTCCATTGTGCATTCGGTGTATTTACAAGTAACGGGATGGGGGACGATGTACCAGGAAAATTCCATGGAGTATATCGGAAAATATTCCAATTATGCCTGGCCAAATCGAGAATTGTCTGCCGTGGTGCCAGGGAATATTGTTCTAGGGGCCTTGCACATGATTCATGAACGTAGCGAGGATAAGATTTGTGGACGGATAATGCCCCAGGGTGGGATTCAAGCTCTAGAGACGATGCTGTATACCCTGGATTATATAAATAACCAATCTAATTTTTTACCCGGAATAAAACTGGGAGTCTTAGCTAAAGATGATTGTGATCGAGATATTTATGGCCTAGAGCAGTCAGTGGATTTTATTAAAGGTAAGTCAACGTCTTCGTCATATCTTGGTCATATTTACTGGATTATCGTGTTAATACTTTCAGCTGAAGATAGTTTACCACAATTTTTAGTAATTTGCTACATTGTGTACCACATTTTGCCCATTCCCACATTTTGCCCATTTACCACATTTTGCCCATTTACCACATTTTGCCCATTTACAACATTTTGCCCATTTACAACATTTTGCTTTGCCACATTTTGTACCATAAATTGTTATATATTTTGTACCACATTAGGTACTACATTTTTCCTATTTGCCACATTTGTAACTTAATTAACATAATTTGTAACCGAATTACAACATTAAAAACTAATATAACCTATGTAACACACTTAAAACCACTTTAACACATGTGTAACCAAAGTAATACACTTAAAACCACTTTAACACATTTGTAACCAAAGTAATACACTTAAAACCACTTTAACACATTTGTTACCAATGTAACACATTTGTAACCAATGTAACACTTTAGTAACCAACACATAAGGTGTTGTTAGCACAGAGCCAGAAAAAATGTGACACACTGATGCAAAACCTGCTGCAAGGACACTTGCGTATTGATGTGTTTTGTCGGTTTTTTCCTTGTGATCGACATTGGCACAGCCATTGACAAAGTAGGCTTGAGATGTCACGAAGGGTGGCCATTGACACTGATATCAGTTCTTGACTTATTTTGTTCGAGGACCATCATAACCTAGTTTCAATTAAAACAACATCCTGGACGGACTATAAAAATAAAATTTGGAGCAAATTCAATTGAGTAAAAATAAAAAATTGCACGGATCAGACATTAGAATACGACCATCACGGGGTCGCATTTATTATCCCATCTGTACAAGACATTTGTACCATACTACTTTAAGTGAGCATTTGTGAATGTATTGCAGCTCCGTAAAGGCTTCTAATCACAAGTTTAGTATCTTCACAATGTCAAGGTATTACGGATATCTTGTGCCTCTTTCGTAACAATAAAACATATGCTGCCTTGAACACATTAACTCACTATAAAATGAAAAATATTTTAGTTTTGTTCATAATTGTTAAGAGGTTGAATAGCTGGAATCCATTCAATAAATTGAAAATAGACATGTTATAATAAATATAAAACTAAACGTTAAGTGAGTCCATTTAAATAACATTTAGTCACACACGTGCGCGTAGGCAGGGAACGTTTACATAAGATAACAATTTCTTGCCTTCTATTTATTGGTATATTTTTACCTCCATTGTAATCAAGCATGTACTCTACTACAGTCCGGTTCTAATGACGTTATTTCAATCAAAGTGTTTCATGTAGGATCGAGCTAAATTCCCCTTAGTACGTAGTAGGCGTTGAGCTTCAGCCGTGCAATACATCAAAATGGACTGGTTGTAGCATATCTAAGCTCCGCCTACTTTCCTCCGAGATTCTATTGGGCTTTCATATTAAGTAATCCAAATATGGTACATCAACAAATTGCTGATAGACCATGGGTTTACTCGAACACATTTTAAGCGATTTATTTCTTAAAAACATCAAAGTAAAATGAACTCTATGTTGCAATAATGTTTATTGTTTATATATTATTATAAGATATACAACTAAAAGGAAACGGAGAAATGTGTAAACACAGATAAAAATATAACTTAAACAAAACAATTAACAAAATACTCCACATGACAGGATACAATAACAATTTTACAGCATGCTCTTCACGCATTGATTCTATAAATTTGTATGAAAACAGCACCATAGTCTTTAGTTCATTGAGCAAAAAATAAAGCAAAACATTAAGCAGTTTTTTCTTTTGCAGAACGAGTCGTTCTGTTGTAACGTTATGTGGTGTTTTTATAGTTTTAACGAGTCGCTCTGTAATAACGCTATACGTAGTGGAAATTCAAAAATAACATATTGGTAATAGATGTAAATTGTTTAGCAACATGTCAGTTACTACTATTATTTGTTTATTTAGTAACTCTCCCAACGTAAGTAACTTCTTATCAAACTGATGTATTCTAGTGCTGAAATCCATAGGCTCTTCTTGTGACCTAGGTCAGTGCTTCTATAGGAGAATATCTCTTATAACACCTACCACAAGTGACCTAGGCCAGTGCTTCTATAGGAGAGTATCTCTTATATCACCTAATACTAGTGACCTAGGCCAGTGCTTCTATAGGAGAAAATCTCTTATAACATCTTATACTAGTGACCTAGGTCAGTGCTTCTATAGGAGAGTATCTCTTATAACACCTAATACTAGTGACCCAGGCCAGTGCTTCTATAGGAGAGTATCTCTTATAACACCTAATACTAGTGACCTAGGCCAGTGCTTCTATAGGAGAGTATCTCTTATAACACCTAATACTAGTGACCTAGGTCAGTGCTTCTATAGGAGAGTATCTCTTATAACACCTAATACTAGTGACCCAGGCCAGTGCTTCTATAGGAGAGTATCTCTTATAACACCTAATACTAGTGACCTAGGCCAGTGCTTCTATAGGAGAGTATCTCTTATAACACCTAATACTAGTGACCTAGGTCACCTACCACTAGTGACCTAGGCCAGTGCTTCTTTAGGACCTACTCACGACCCAACTAAATTTAACTCCATAATAAGCTAAGTCGTATTAGTATTAGTCTTGATTCAAAGCTTTCTCATTGAGTATATTTGTCTCAATGAAGTGTAATGGTACGAAGATAATTGTTTATTAAGCTCGGGCTTATTCTCTAAGTCTAATTAAAGACGACATGCAGGGCGGTAATTGGTTTTCACTACTCCGTGTGACTATATCGAGCTCATTGTTAACGAGGCTTCAGAAATCTGGAGCGATTTATCTTGATTTATCTAGAGCTGGGGGAGTATATTTTAATATCTACCCATGATCCATGAGGCCTACATTCCCATTTTGATAGGATTTGATTACTTAGTAAGATTGTGACCTTGACTGGCATTGTATCAGTTGAAGGTTTTCTAGCAAGTTCACACTACCCATAGTCGAACGTGTATTGTCTATACTAGATTATTGTTAACCTCTTGCCGCTCATCCAGTAGCTACCAATAAGTCTCTGAATAATATATTTTTTTTTTATGGGATCCGGCGACCACTAAGGCTGTATACAAGTTTACGGTGGGTAGAGCCTTACCAAAGTAGCTACAAGGCTCATTCGCATTTTTGCTTGACGTCAACCCCTAGCCACTGACAAGCCTTAGAACCTTTTAGATTATTAATGGGGTCCACCT